CCAACCTATCAGAGGCAGAGTTCAAAACACTGGTAATCAGGATACTCACAGAAATGATTGAGTACAGACATAAAATAAAGGGAAAAGTGAAGGCTACACAAAATGAAATAAAGCAAAATATACAGGGAACCATCAGTGAAGTGAAGGAAACTGGGACCCAAATCAACAATTTGGAACATTAGGAAGAAATAAACATTCCCCTGGAACACAATGAAGAAACAAGAATTTTAAAAAATGAGGAGAGGCTTAGGAACCTCCAGGACAACTTTAAACATTCCAACATCTGAATCACAGGGGTGTCAGAAGGGGAAGAGGAGGAGCAAGAAATTGAAAACTCATTTGAAAAAATAATGAAAGAAAACTTGCCCAATCTGGGGAAGGAAATAGACATACAAGTCCAGGAAGCTCACAGTCCCGAAAAAACTGTTGGATCCAAAGAGGAACATGACAAGACGTATCCTAATTAAATTACTCAGGATTAAACCTAAGGAGAGAATCTTAAAAGCAGCAAGAGAAAAGCAGAGAGTTACCTACAAAGGAGTTCCCATAAGACATCCAAGATTACTCTATCCAACTAAGTTATCATTTAGAATGGAAGGGCAGATAAAGTGCTTCCCAGACAAAGTAAAGTTAAAGGTGTAAAGTTCATCATCACCAAGGCCTTATTATATGAAATGTTAAAGGGACTTATCTAAGAAAAAGAAGACCAAAACTATGAACAGTAAAATGACAACAAACTCACAACTATCAAAACTGAACCAAAAAAACCCGAAAAACAAAAACAAAATAAGCAAACAACTAGAACAGGAATAGAATCACAGAAATGAAGATCACACAGAAGGTTACTGGTGGCGGGGGGGTGGGGAATGGGAGAAAAGGTACAGGGAATGAGAAGCATAATTGGTAGGTACTGAAGAGTTGTAAGACTTCTGGCCAGGATGGAGGCAAAGGTAGATACACTTTACCTCCTTGCACAACCAAAAGAACAACAAATTTAAAAACAAAAAAAATAACCAGAACTGCCAGAAAATCAAGCTGTATGGCAGTCCAGCAACCAGGGAGTTAAAGAAGAAACATTCATCCAGACTGGTAGGAGGGGTAGAAATGGGCACCTGGGATAGAGAGGACATGTGGCAGGCAGCGGCTAATGGACCGAGCAGTTCCACATTTGTGTGTGAATAAACCATGAGGAACAGCTGGGGAGCACAATACAGGGTTCCAGTGCCAGAAAAGAAAGCTTCAAAACCTCTGGAGGTAAAAAATCTGTGCGGGTTGCAGGGAGAGGAGAAACTCCCAGCCTCACGAGAGAGTTCATTGGAGAGAACCACAGAGTCCTAGAAAGTACACAAACCCACCCACCCAGGAATCAGCACCAGAAGGGCCCAATTCGCTTGTGGGTAGCAGGGGAAGTAACTGAAAGCCGGTGGAGAGCTGAGCAAGTGGCTTTGTTCCCTCTCGGACCCCTCCCGCATAGACAGTGTCACAACTCAGCGACCGGGGTTGCCCCGCCCTGGTGAATACCTAAGGCTCTGCCCCTTCCTACATAACAGGTCCGCTGACACAAAGAAATATGGCTCAAATGAAAGAACAGATCAAAGCTCCAAAAATAGAACAATGAACAGAGAGCCAACCTATCAGATGCACAATTCAAAACACCAGTAATCTGGATGCTCACAGAAATGGTTGAGTATGGTCACAAAAATGGAGGAAGAAGTGAATGAAGGCTATGCAAAGTGAAACAAAGAAAAATATACAGGGAACCAATGGTAAAGGAAAGGAAACTGGGACTCAAATCAATGATTTGAAGCAGAAGGAAGAAATAAACATTAAACCAGAACAGAATGAAGAAACAGGAATTCAGAAAAATGAGGAGAGGCTTAGAAACCTCCAGGACAACTTTAAATGATCCAACATCTGAATCATAGGGGTTCCAGAAGGAGAAGAGGAAGAGCAAGAAATTAAAAACTTATTTGAAAAAATAACGAGGGAGAAATTCCCCAATCTGGTGAAGGAAATAGTCTGCCAGGAGATCCAGGAAGCTCAGAGTCCCAAAGAAGTTGGACCCAAGGAAGCTCACACCAAGGCACACCATAATTACATTAGCCAAGATTAAAGATAAGGAGAGAATCTCAAAAGCAGCAAGAGAAAAGGAGACAGTTACCTACAAAGGAGTTCCCATAAGACTATCAGCTGATTTATCAAAAGAAACCTTGCAGGCAAGAAGGGGCTGGCAAGAAGTATTCAAAGTCATTAAAGTCAAGGATTTATATCAAAGACTACTCTATCCAGCAAAGCTATCATTTAGAATGTAAGCGTAGATAAAGTACTTCCCAGATAAGGTAAAGTTAAAGGAGTACAGTATCACCAAGGCCTTATTATATGAAATGTTAAAGAGACTTATCTAAGAAAAAGAATATTGAAAACTATCAACAGTAAAACAGAGGGGTGGGGGAGGTAGAAGAATGGGGGAAAAGGTACAGGGAATAAGCAGCATAAATAGTAGGCACAAAATAGAGAGGGGGAGGTTAAGAATAGTATAGGAAATAGAGAAGCCAAAGAACTTATATGTACAACCCATCCATGGACATGAACTAAGCAGGGGGAAATGCTGGGGGGTGGGGTGGTGTATGGTGGAGGGGTATAAAGGGGAGAAAAAAAATGGGACAACTGTAATAGCATAATAAAATATATATTTAAAAAAGGATGGAAAATTACATGAGCTTGTAAGAACTAGAGATATTAACAGATCTTAATAAATAGTGGATATAAATATATTAATAGTTTATGGGAAAAAATAAGAAGCATAATTGGTAGGTACAAAATATCGAAGGGGAGGTTAAGAATATTATAGGCAATGGAGAAACCAAAGAATTTATATGTATAACCCATGGACATGAACTAAGGGTGGGGGAATGCTGGAGGGAATGAGGGTACTGGGCAGAGGGGTATACAGGGGAGAAAGAAGAATGGGACAACTGTAATAACATAGTAAGATATACTCAAAAAATAATATTGTAATAACTATGTACAAGTGGGTACTAGACTTACTGGGGATGACTTCATATCTTATATAAATCTCTAATCACTATGCTGTACACCTGAAACTAATATAATATGGTATGTCAATTGTAATTGAAATATTTTTTAAGAAAAAGAAAAGAGATTCGTGAAAATGTTTTTGGAAGTACTACAAGCTAAACTTTCTTGAATAGCTCATAGATGTATTTCATTTTATATATACTTAATCATTAAGGTCTAAACTGGACACTTCATTTTCATTACACTTTGCAGCATCTCATGGAAGACATTAGATGATGGGGTGTTGTTTGTAGATTTGAAGAATCTCAAAGACCTTTGGAGTTCTTCAGACTGTTAGCCATCTGTCTTAACTGTTTAATCATCTCCAATGCCACAGAAAACAAAGACAGAAAGATAAGTTACTTGGATCATGAAACTATTGTGTTTGTGATCTCCTATAGGAACAATAGGCATCATTCTATTAATTATGCAAATATTTGGACTATTTTCCATCTATACTTGGGAGATTTGCCAAAATACCAGTAATAGCATTCAGTTATAGTGACTTCATAAAGAAACATCAATCCACCCTGGCTGACGTGGCTCGGCTGGTTGGAGAGTCATCCTGTAAACCAAAAGGGTCTGTTCAACTACCATGCAGGACACATGCTTAGGTTGCAGGTTCCATCCATGGGCACGTATGGCAGGCAACCTATTGATGTCTCTATCACATTGATATTTCTCTCTCTGTCTCTCTCTGTCTCCCCTTCCTCCCCCTTCCTCTCTCTCTCAAATCAATAAGTATATTCTCAGGTGAGGATTAAAAAACAAACCCCATCAATCCAATGTATTAAGACTATGCAAATCTAAATACAAGTAAATATGTATCACAGTATATAATGTCTTCATGTTTATGCACCAGGACCTCTGTGTGAAATCTTTCAACTACTTGATAAACAAAGTCTATGAGCCAAAGTAGAAATGAGTTACATAACCATATATGACATTTGGCTAGTTAATATTTTAAGAATGCTTGGTTTTTCTTCATTTTTGATTTCTGCAAAACTGTGGAAGTACTTAAATTCATTTCATGTATGCCATGTTCTATGCTCTTTTGATGTTGAATGTGCTCTTTTGATGTAAAAATGGTAGCTGATGATTTCAATATCATTACAAGCTGTACTTTGCTAGAATTATAAAAGTGTATTTCAGTCACATCAGTGGCTATATTCATAAATTCTGATGAAGGAAAAGATTATTATACATACTTTAATTATAGCTACAATGTAAAATTAAGGATATTGAGATTATAAATTTACCTTACTTTTGATGATTTATTTATTTGCATTCAAAAACTGATATTTGTGTAACTTTGATTGCTTTGAAGTCAAGGACTGCGTAATTCTACTTGTTTGAATTTCCGGCATTGGGTTCAGTATATTGATATAATAATCAGAGCTCAGTAAGTTCTTATCATTCTTCTAAGTTCTTTTACACGTGGACAATAGCTGGTTCTACTGTACCATCTGGGGTGGGGATAGGAGTGGGGGCAGAAGGGAAGGGTAGATGCAAGCAAGAAGCTTCAACAGTGTGAGTAGTTTTCTTTCTTAAAATGGATAGTGGATACACAGGTGTTCATTGTATTTATTTTCTTACACCTCTTTGCATAATTCATTTTTAAAAGAAAAAAGTAAAACTAAGTACAATATTCATAGATTTATTTTATTTCACAGACTGGCAAATACTGGTTTATTTACTTCAATATACTTCACCAAAAATGCAGAGAGAAATGAGTTGGGAAAGCCTAATAAAATTAGAATTCTACCTCTCGGCCCTCTCTGATAGCTTTTCTTCTCAATGAAGTCTGCGTTCTAAATTAAACATTACTTTTAATTGAAAGTGTCATTGTAGCAGAATATGATTGGTGTAACAGCAGCAAGATGTCATGCCTCCAAGTGTAACTCTTCCACTAAGTAAATTACCTCAATTTCCTGTAACTGCTCCTGATTGGTTGTGTACATCTGCTGAAGAGAATCCTCCAACTCTGTGTTCCGATCCAGTAATGTCTTCCCAAGCTCAGCAGCAAGTTGGAGATCTAGAACAACAAATAAAGAATGCAAATGATCTCACTGCAACATTTTATATAACCCAGTCCTTAAGAACCAAGACCCAACACAACATAGAAAGTTTAAGTCAGATCCTTGTGGAAGATGAAATAGCCCAGTAGGAAACCTGAGTCCTACTTAAGGTCCAGTTGAACTGGGGCCCTCCATTTGTAACGTGCTCTCTTATGTACCCCTACTTGTGAGACGTGAAGAAGACAGATGTACTTTATGGAGATGTATTCATTAGTCTAGGAATGATCATTCAGCATTGTGACTTCTAAGATCATAATCACTTGCTAATGAACTGAATTTATTCATATCTGATCATTTACTTTTTTTGGACAGAGCCTCGACCAAAGTACAGGCAGATATTTAAATAGTCTCTAAAGTTCCTAAGAAATCTGGCTGTTGTGAATGTGTTAATATATTATTGCAACTGTCAAAGCAAAGTTTGTTTTTACAGGTCCTGGCCTCCAAAGGACACTAAAAATTATTAAGTAAAAAAAAATATATCTCCAATATGAACACTGTTCATTTTTTCTACTTCTCTCACATCCTTCTTCAAGATGAGCAAAACAGACAAGCAGCACAGCTATACTTTTTGAGGTAATCACATGTCAGTAGCTCATACAGTACTTTGATGTAGCACAGGATCATATTTCTATTTTAAACCTCATTTTTCAACTCTCTTCTTAGGCATATATGCACATAAGACAGGATTTGTGTTATATGCAAGCTCAGAAATAAAAATTTAATGATACCAAAAACTACACAAGTTCTAACATAATTAACTGAAGTCACTATCTGCATAGTAAACTTCACAGAGGTCCTTTAATATAGTAGGAAATGCATTCAGCTGAGTATGACATGGGCCTTTAAAGGTCTACACTTATTATTGTTGTCTAGGGACAATGTGATTGTAAAATCAAATGAAATAATACAGATGGAAGTACTTTACAAACTAAGTTGCAATACAAAGCCAAAGAATGAATATGTTTATTGCTAGGCACTATGCTAAGCTTTGGATACAGAATGGTAAATATAAGGAAGTTCTTGCTTCTCTAGATTAACAGTGGAGTCAGACAACAAGCAAGTAGATAAACTTGCAAACTGATAAACACTCTTCAAACATGCATGCATGCATACATTTAATAATACCAGTGAGGAACAGAGTGAGGAAAAAAACATGGAGTCATTATAGTCAAGCTGCTAAATTACTATAGTGAAATAGGCTGAGGCCTGAAGAAAAATGATTCTACTCTTTTTAAACCAGCCTAGGAACTTAAACTTTCGACCTTTCCAGTCAAAAGCCAATGCCTGCATCTCAGCGGCTGATTACCCCATGAAGGACTAAGGAAACAATGTTCACATATCCAGACCACCTGACATCCATGATCCAGTCCACTCCAGTGATCCAGAGGATGACTATCTTGGACCAATCCAAAGGTTAAGATTGCGGGACTGATTTTTCTCAAGGATGTATTTTTTATTATAAGAACCATTAGCTTTTCTTTCATCTTCAAAACATCCTGGGTTTTGCCTAGAGGCAATGAAATGTTTTTCATTTGTGAACCTTAAGACATTTGAATAAATCTTTATCATTTATTTCTAGCAATGGGTTTACAACTTTTGAGTCCATGTGACACCAGGTAGTATTCTGGACACTGGGGATATAAGAATGAACTTAGCTAAATAATTCCCTGCCCTCCTGGAGCTTATATTCTATTGGGAGAAATACATGACAAAATATATGATAGCAGGAAGTGCCAAAGAGAAAAAATAAAACAAGGAAGGGGAATAGGAAGAGTATGGAAATGGGAGGTTGAAATTTAATAATGTAACACAGGTGACAGAATTAAGATATGAAGAAACAGAATAAACAACCCATGTAGATCTACCTAGGTGACCAGCATTTCAGGCAGAGGTAAATCAGAGGGCTCTGAGATTGGCCAGCTTTGTAAGACCCAACTAAGGAGGTAAAGATTTTGGCTTTTACTGAGTGAAATGTAACTCAGTGACAGGATCACGCTGGCTGCTGTGTAAACAGACTGAAAGGGACAAAAGTGAAAGCAAGGTGACAAATGGACACTGAAATCATCTGGGTGGAACACGATGGTGGGGCTTGCACTGGGATGACAGAGACGGAGATGGAGAGAAGGGATAGGATTCTGGATATATTCTGAAAGTAGAGCTAAAAGGGTGTGTTAACCCAACTGGATACAGAGTGAGAAAAAAAAGAACAAAAATGGATCTGGTGATAATAAACAAAGGATCTACTTTAGAAAGGGTAGACACAAGGAAAGTCACTCTGAGGAGACATTTAGCTAAAGCTGGAAGGATAAGGATCTCACCATATAAAAGCCAGTGTGATAGAAGCATAAGGGGAAGAGGTATGCGATGAAGTTGGAGAAGTAGGCAGGGATCAGATCGTAACAAGATTTTATAGGCCCTGGTAAAGAAAGTTTGACTTTTATTCTAAGTATGATGTTAAGTAATTTTACTTAATGTCATACAAATATTTATTATGAGTATTTGTTATAAAAACAGGGAACCATACTATATGATTTTTAAACTTAATTTTTAGAGGTTGACAAGGTTTATATCTATTCATAACTACTGATATTAAAACTCAACGTAAAATAAATGATAACAGAAAAGCAATACATTTTGTCACCTGGTACTATTCATTCCAGTATATAATTAGTATCCTACTTGGTTGGTTTTCCCTCATTAGGAAAAAACCACAGCAGCAAAATTGACCATACACCATTCCAGCTCATATTAAACATTTAACTCCCATTTAAAATAAACCAATGTACTGTTGGTAGAGAGGTGTTAAAATACATTCTCTATGACTTAAATATTAATAGTGCCTATTAATATACTAAAGATTTCAAATAACAAGTCTATGAAATAAAATCTTGTATTCAAAGTACGTAGAACCTTTACAAACAGCTCAAATCATGTAAGAAACATTCATCTTTATATGTTTTCAAAGTATTAAGCCCAGTTTTTCAGACGCAACAAGTTTAAGCACAAAGGTGCTAACTGACCTGATCAAATCTACAAGTCACAGGTGAAACAGAAACTCCTGTCACCAGGTTCTAACTCTCACTCTCATCGCCATTCTCTACTTTGCTACCCACATCTACAGAGCTTTAAGACTATTGACAGGTGTGTCCAACACATTTCTTTAAGGTAGAGAGTACAGATTCCCCTAGTTGAGGTACTTAATCTTTTTGCTTGTTTTCACAGATGGCAATGAGAAACTAGAGTTGAGCTACCTAGCTTTTACTGCCGGTTCTCTCAAACAAAGTAAGTACAACCCTAGGCAAGTTAATACCTTGTCTTTACCAAGTGAAAAATGGAACTATGTACAGCTAAAGATATTCCAGAAATAATTATTTTGTACTCATAGGGTATGTAATGTGTATACACAGTGCTACATAGAAGCTACCACATTGTATTAAAGACAAACATGACCTAGACATTACTTAAATCTCTCCTGGCCTGTTTTAAAGTTTAGTAATTTCTCACTGGAAAGGATCTGAGACTTAGCAACGATGGTGTTAACTAGCAGTCAAAACCTGAATCAAGACTAACTTCACCCTTACCTACTTCCATTCTGTTATGGAACCACCAGTGCTATGTTATACACAGCCAGGAACAGCTCTCCTGCTTCAGAAAAGAGGGACACTAAGTAAAGCATTCTTCCAGTCAACAGCAACCAGAAAACACTTGAGACTTGTCCTCTCTCAGCCCTTATTTCCAGTTAAACAAAGCCCAACTTTGCTCAGTAACCTCAAGCCTCAGTCTCCTTCATATTTCATTGGCTGTTTAGGATAGAATTCTAGCAAGACAAGTATCAACTACAAGAAAGCACCTGTGAAGTAACACTGTATAAGAGGATATTACTTCACCTGTTAGTTGAAGGACAAGGGACCTTCCTTGGTCTTTAAAAAAAAAGTTCATTTCCTGTCATGTAGCATATGGCTTCCATAACCAAATGGAGCCAAAAGCTGGCAGCAAGCCCAAGAAGGTTTTCAAAATAATTAGTGGGGGAAATGGGAGAGTATTGAATGTTCTTTATTATTGTTTTTAAGTAGGACACAAAAGAAAAGACAACACAGTTTTGAAGTCGTATGTACCTGTTCACCTATTTTCCAATAAGGATTTTCATTAAGAGGATGTCTTTTCTAAATCCTATTGAACTGGCCTTGGGGCACTAAAAACACTGCAGATTTACTGTGGGCTTGAGAGCCACAACCTAGCAATACCTTCATGTTTAATTCTTTCACTAATCAGCCTTTGCAAGTGATAATAATCCATTTTAACACTGTACACTGTTAGCTTTAAACAGATACTCCACTCAGCCCTATGTCTAGGCAGAAAAAAATCAGCTCCAGCAGCCAGAGTGAATTTTTAAAAGGATCTCTCTTCCAGAATTTGGAAACCTTTAAATTCCACTGCTTTTATATTTTGTTTTCCTCAATTTTTTCCAAAACCATGAGGACAACATATTCCTATGTTTGCTGTGGTTTGTACCTGTAATTCAATAATATTAAGGCCGAAAGCTTTTCCTATTACAAAGTCAAATGCATCATTTGGTGATGCTTATGTGTTACTCCTGTTGCCAATGTTACTATAATTGGGAAAGCAAAAAACCTGAATATAAACATCAAGAAAAACGATGATGTCAGTTTTAATGACCCTCCAAACAGTGATTCAGCGAGTTAGTTACACACACTAGGAAAATGTACTCATCTTGAAAAGATGAAGGAGTAGGAATCTTAGAATTCCTTTAAACTAAGACTTCATTTGCTGATCCATGCAGTAAAAACCTGAATCCTTATTTTAAGCTTGCACAGCTCACCAAACGACAATTACAATAGCAGCTGGTCTAAAAGAAAATCCAGTCTCTGAAGTCTTTTCACCTTGCTCTCAGGGGCACATTTCAAAGCAAGCACCGCCATTACCTGTACAGAAAGCTCCTGCTGTCCCAGAAAGGATCAAACCCACAGAGACCATCGTCAGTATTCTTCCTGTGCCAACTCAGCCCTCTAACAAAAGACAATCTCTGCATCAAAGTGTTTTGTACAAGCATAGGGTTTTCTCCTTCTGCCTGCACACAGCTTTACATGTTTCTAAAAAGGTATGAATAGTAGACCAGAGCCTTGTGAGGTTAAATTTTTTCAGCAATTTTAAAAAGAATGCCCCAGCAAACTTTGATTAAAAAAAAAAAAAAAAATCAATCTACCTAAATAATGCTTCTATTGCTAAAGGAAAAAAACCTCATAGTTCTATGAGAATGGGATCTTAAAAAGTTGTTTTAGTAGTTCTCTCCAAACAAGGCTTGCTCAGTAACATTAATACAGGCAGACCTCAAAGATATTATAGGTTTGGTTCCAGACCACTGTAATAAAGTACGTATCACAATAAAGTGAATCATAATCTTTTTGCTGGTGGGAAGTATTGCCTTCCATTGAAAAATGCAATAGCTGTGTAATGCACCTAAGTGAAATGCAATAAAACAAGGTCTGCCTGTAGTGAGGATGTTAAACAGATAAACAGACAGATGTCTGCACTTGATAAAACCCCACTACATTTGCTTATCAGTGTGTTTAACAGGACAGGCATATTCACAAGTTATGATCTTTTGAATTTCACATCTATTCATACCTTGCACGCTTGGTTATGACATACAGGGTTATGTCAAAGTCCACTGTGATAATGATTGTAAAAGTCCTTTGAGAAGCACAGAATAACTTCCAAATGCGAACGGGCACTAAGGAGGTTCAGATCTGTGTTCTTTAAGGCTTCATTAACTTGAACACCTGATGACCTCCTTCTGCTCAGAGGTTAAAGAGTTCTACATGTAACCCCAACAAGTGGCATTTGCTTCTCAAGTAGATTGAAACATTACAACTGCTTGTTCCTAACAACCTCCCACAGCATAAAGTGCATTGTGGATTAAGGTACTTTATAGAAGAGAGCCATGGAAACAGTAATCCTGGATGAGAACCTCAATTTAGTCCAACAAATAATTAAAATTGAGCTTCTATTATGTGCTACATATGATGCTAGATTCAAAACAAAACAAAACAAAACAAAAAACAAGCCTGTACAGATCTATCTTCTTAAAGGCAGGGAAGAAAAATATTTAGCTTTGATTATACAAACTGCTTACTTTATTATAAAGAAATGTTTCAATTGCACAATGGTTGTCACATAAATCCTGGAGAAAGTATCAAACTAGGCCATCGATCCTAAAGGGAAATTCTGAAAACAGGCTTGTTAACATGTAAGACAAATTTGTCTTGTGGACATAGAGAACTTAATGGGCAATACTGCACTGCAGCCGTTTAATAGCTTCTACTACCCAAGTGTAATGGTGAACTACTTTGGTTTAAGTGACTGTCCTGTCCACAGCATATTGATTTAAGAAATCACCTTCCCCCAAAGAAGTGTGTTTCATTTTCCTTTACTAAGTGTGAGTCATTCAAGCATACATTCCCTCCCTCCACCAAGTTCAACGGTTATCATGGTTATTTAATATTCACATAAATGAAATGTTAAACTTCAGTGCAAGTTAAAATTGAAAAAGTTGATTTACAAAGAATTGCAGAAAAGGAAGATGCCTGAAAAAATTTTCTGAGGATTATTCAGTATAGTGGTTAAGAAAGTTTGTTCTGGAGTTTGGAGTGGAATACTAGTTCCCTCAATAACAGTATCTACTTCTACCTCCATAGCTGTTGGGAGGATAAAATGAAACCGGTGTTAAGGACCAGTCAGCGCCCAGCACCCGAAAAGTGTCCCCCAATACTAGGTTCCTGTTATTAATATGCAAAAGAAGGGGCGTGCTGTCTCCAAATAGAGGGTTGTCTAAGGTTCTTCTGTGGAGACACACCATCAGCAAGTTTTTAACAAGCTAGAGTTCACAGTGAAGGAGGAGGCAGAGGGAGAAACGCGTCTTCCAGCTCACCAGATGCCCTCAAGTCATTTCAGGGCATCTGGTGAACTGTGCCTAAGCAATTCTTCCCCCAAGAGTCTAACATGTCACTAGAAGAAGCTGTATACCAATGGTAACGAAGAGACAGGGTTTGGACAGCGACTGTGACTCCTCCCCTCTATTAACTCGAGGGAAGACACTTGGTCGCTTTGGCCCCCGCTTTTCTTCCTTAGAAAATGGGGCCGACAACAAAAAAAAGTTACCCCCCGCCCCGAGTTATTGTGCAGATCCCGTTTGTGCCCAGAGCTTCGCACAGGTCCTGCACAGCGCACCGAGGCCCGTGCCACCACAGCAGTTCGCACCCGCGCCGCTGCGATTTCCCCAGAGGAGCCTGGTGTTTATAGCCTGGAGGACTGCGGGGAGGACTGACCCGGAATAGCGGGGCAGACAGTGCCGGGCGCAGAGCTTGCGGTCCACACGCGCTAATGGTGATGGTAACAACTGCGCAGCCGCCCGGGTCCTCGCAGAGCCTCTCCGGGAGGGATAGGCAGGTGCGGCCACTCCCTATGCCAGGTGAGCCCGGCCCTCCCCAGCACTTGGGGTCCCTCGGTCGCAAGCAAACGCAACCTGTCAACAGCTTCGCCGCCCGCAGTCTCTCCGGCCAGGCCGCCCACCCGCCGCCCACGGCCTCACCTTGCTGGAGGTCCTGGTGGTCGTACCACGATTCGTCCTCCTTCATCTCGAACTCTTCCATCAGGTTTTCCGCCAGCATCTTGGTCGGTTCTCCCGGGGGCAGTGGCCCCCGCCGCCTCCGTCCCGCCCCAGCCGCTGCCCCGGGCGCTCCACCGGCTCCTCCGCCCTCAGCCAGAGCCGCCCTCGGGCGGGACAAGCCGCCGCGTTGCCTGTCTGGAGCCGCCTGCCAGCTCGCCTCGAGCCTCCCAAAGGTCCCAAAGTCCAGCAACCCGGCCCGACTGCCCTAGCCGGCTCTCGGAGGCGGCTCCTCAAGCCGCAGCCGGGCCCAACGTGGCACTTCTGCAGAGCCCTCCCCGACCGGGGCGGCAATTCAAACCCCCAGCTGTTCCTTGACCAATCGCGAGCGGGCCGCTGGCCGAGCGACAGCTAGCTTGTCCAATCGCACCTCAACCGCAGGGCCGCGGGTCGCTCAGTCTCTAGGGCAAGCAGCCAATGGAAACTCTGTAGGAAACAAAGAAGGCGGGGAAAGCGAAGGGTGAGGCTCGAAGCCCCGCCCCCTTCCCCGTGTTGAGTTGTGGAATCGAACTGGTAGGACCGTGTTTGGACTTGGAACTTCTGGGGCCGCTGTGGTGGTTGTCTCGCCTGGGAGACAGCCAGCCAGTGGTCAGGCTTCGTGGGCTGGAAGGCACGGATTCGGCCTTGAGTGTGACTATTATACTGCGGCGTCCCTCCTACAGGCGGGGGCGCAGAGGGTGCCGGGAACCCGAGGTCTTCGTCTCCGTAGACGCTCTGGTCTTTTGATTCCCAGGTTCTTTCTTCTAGATGCGGGGAAATTAAGGTGGGTCGGGAGTTGAGGGATGCCACACATTTTCTTTTTGACAACTGGGAGTGATCCCATTAAAACGACGGGCCCCAGGCGCACTTGGGAACCTGGTGGCGGAGGGGATGCAGTTGAAGCTATCTCCTTAGAAAAAAATTGTAAGCAACTTTGTAAGAGATTTTAAAAGGTTCAGAGGTCCCAGTTTAAGCCTCTGAGATCACGACATTGCACCTGGAGAGAAGAGAATGCAGAGCTCTTTTAGAGCAGACTACCAACAAATACATGTAAAAGGAATAATGGTGTTAGAAGGTAATAATCATAGTAAAAGAGGAATGGTAAACTCACAAATCCCTTTCTTCTCAATCCAGGTATCCTAAAAGGCAACTTATTACTGATCGGCTTTTTATTGCTAGATTGAAAAATAAGAAAGCTAGGTCCCGTGTAAAGCCTTTACTGCCCTATTGTCAGTATTCTGGTAGAGATAATAGTCCAGAGCCAAAAGAAAATAAAACCATCTTATTTTCCAAGTTACTACAGACAGAGCTCTTTGGAAAGAGAGATGGTTGGATGTAGGACTTGCTGACGGTGATTTGTAGAAGTTGAAGGGCTAGAATCATGAATCTGATCTTCAAGAGACTCATCTTCTATAGTTCACTAATCTGCAAGATTGAAAGTGCTAGCTTTTTTCATCGTGATAAATAGCCCATTTTGACCCCAAATCAAATGGGAAAGTATATTGAAACATTCTTTTAAATTCTCTTTCAAAAAGTAAGAAATACGTGGAGAATTATCTGGAAGTTATTGATAGTTTAAAATGACCCCCTCTCCCCCCAAAAAACAACACTCTCTGGCAAGAAAGCTCAGTTGTTCAGAGCGTCATTCATCATTCGGTGCACCAAGGTTGCAGGTTCCATCCTGGGTCAGGGCACACAAGAAGCAACCAATAAATGCATAAATAAATAACAACAAATCGATCTCTCTAAAATCAATAAATTAAAAAGAAGTGCTTTCTGCCTTTTGATATTAGTGAGTTCTTAAAAAAGGGTGCTGTTGACGGAAAGTTTTGTTTATTTTTTCCTGGAAAAGCTTGAACAAAAGCTGCACTAAAAAAAGGTGTTAACCTTCAATGCTAAAAGCCCTGCCTTGGAGAGGTCCCCAGCATTCTTTGGGAATCTACGTAGTTATAGCTTAGAAGTAATCATGAGCAGCCTCTTCAGCAACGTAATTATTGGTTTTAGTAGTAGTTTAGTGAGTAATGACCCTGATGGTATTTAGTGCCTCTGCCTAGCCTAATCATGGCACTGTTTTGCTACTTCTAAACTTTTTGTATCCCTGGCCAGGTGGCTTAGTTGTTTGGAACATCCATGCACCAAAAGGTGGTGGGTTCAATCCCTGGTCAGGGCACATACCTAGGTTGCGGGTTCGATCTATGGTTGGGGCAGGTATGGGAGGCAACCCATCAATGTTTCTCTCTCTCTTCCTCTCTAAGATGAATAAAAATAGAATCGAGTGTGGAAGATGGATTCATCTAGCCAAGGGAGTTGCTTGGCTGGAGGAACTTACTGTCTGCATATCCAAGCTTGACCAGCAAACTGGCTGGCGAGGGAGGTGGAACCCCACCAAGGGACAATGATTGTTATCTATCTATGGTACTTCCTTGAGGGTTCTTAAGAACTGGCTTTAGTGACTAGATTAATGTAAGGAATGTTTGTCCCTGCAGTCTTGATAAATATCAGGTCAGGTGGTTCTCAAATCAGCTTGCGTTCTTTGTATTGTTTAAGCCTGCTAATAAAATAGATGCTTTCCCTCAGCTCGGGGCTTAGTTGGTCATGTCCACTAAGTCCCCTACTACTCATCGCATTCAGTCTCGTGCCTCTTCGATTTGTTGTGGCACCGGTAATGCGACAATTGAGTGAGGATTTAATATATATATATATGTGTGTGTGTGCATACACACACACACACACATTCACACTCTTTATGATAAAGAGGAACCAGAGATCCTTTGTCCTTGGTTGTAAAAATAAAATGTTTTGTGTTTTCTTGCTATAGTAAAATCAGGTAAGGAGAGTCTTTAGATAGCAGTAGTAGTTTTAAAAAAATTGTAATTGGTGATTTTCAGTTAGGTACTTACAGAAATAAATATTTACTAGGATGACAATAATCCAAAGCAAAGTTCTGATGGTTCCTTTGGAGGTTGAAATAGGAAGATTTTACTTCCCCCTCTCAACATATATAAACAAAGAGAAGTGCAGGTTATAGAGTTTTCATAATATTATTAAAACCTTATATTCACATGTTTCAGACAGGATGCTTAACTCAAATTCTTTTTTTAAAAAAATTGATCTCAACTTAGCAAGCGTATGTCCTTTTACAAAATTCTGAGTTTCTAAACCCCTGCCTTCTGACTTAATGCTGGATCATCAGTTGAGAGGGTGTGGCTTGCTTCTTGTTTTAGCATGCCTGAAATGAAACTAAAGAAGAGTGTCTAGATTTTGGTGGGCTAATTTTTTATCTTGGCTATTGGTTTTTCTGGCTCCCTTGTTTTTGGCCCTCTTAGTAATCCAGTAACTTCTAGCCTCAATCTTTCTTCTCACTTATATATGTAACACCCAAGAGTGAGGTCTTCAGTAGTTCCCAGCTTTTACAAATCTGAAAATTTATCCTGAAAGCAAAAAATGTTAGCTGATGTTCACATAACAGTACTTATATATTTCAACTGTTTGACACTGCCTAATGACAAAAAATTCAGCTTTGTATTTTTTCATTACTGCAGAATCTACAACCATTGTAAGAACATTAGTGCACATATGGGCAAAATATTCTTTATTCAGTCTGTATACAATGCATGGCCTGCATATGGGTTTTTTAAAAAAAGGTTTTATTTATCTTTAGAGAGAGAAGGGAGTGAAAAGAGAGCAAGCAAGAAACATTCATTAGTTTCCTCTCATATACACCCCATCTGGGTACTGAACCCATTACCCAAGCATGTGCCTTGACCAGGAATCGAACTGGTGACCTTTTGCTTAGCAGGACAATGCCCAACCAAGTCTCTCTGAGCCACACTGGTCAGGGCTGCATATGGGTTTAGTAACTCCTTTTGATAATTAGAGGGGCCTACTTCCCATAGCATTGGAATCATTCTTGGGTTTTCCCAATGCAAAATGAAGTTCAGGGACTTAGGTATTTGATCATTTGAGCCAAATGCCCTCTCCCCAGTTCAAAGTTGTCCTCCATTCCCCAAAAAAGTGGGCAATACAGACTGCAGTCTATGATTATTTCCCAAGGCTTATTCAAGCAAGTTACAGCTCTCAAGCTACCTGAATATTTGTCTGTTTTCTGATTCAGTAGAGTGTGGAGACCTGGCCAATGTCCCAGTAAAGCAGGAATGAAACAGGAAAGTCATGGTGTTCTCTTAAAACGAAGGGCAGATATCTATACCTACCTCTAGCATGGTCAACCTTTTCCTGTTTTCTAGTCAGATAAATCACTGAAAGGGTAAGACAATAGGCCAGATTTAAGAGGGGTCATTAATCAGAGCGAAGACCAGAATGTGTTTTTTCCTATATCCATTTTAGTTATATAGTCTGTCAGGAGAAAAGAAAAAATAAATTTTCCAATGCAAGTCTGTACTGTTGAATGGAGAACTTTATACTAAAATGAAGAGCTCGCTTCTATTCTTTCTCTTTGACTTTAACTAAAGGATGTCACCTCATTATTCCTTTTCTGTTGCACCCTCCAGAGTAGGAAGGATAATAGTGCCATAAATACCTCTTCCTGGTCACAAGATAAGCATGTCTGTACTCCTGGAGAAATCTTACTGTTATAAATTACAAGATAGATTAAAAATATATTCAAGGAGAGTCTTAGCTATATGCAAATTATAGTTTTTGGCAACATCTAAAAAAACTGTCGAGTGAGTGAATAGGAAGAAAGTGTTAAATCTGGTTCTGTATCCACAGCTAGGGGAGTTGGACTCTGAACTAAAATTAACTAGTGTCCACTGGAATTGTGCAACCCATCAGCTATTGTATGCAAACAGTGAATTTCAACATTTTCCTTTTTTTTTTAACAAAAGGAGGAAGAAATCTGCATGGAAAATGATACTTTTAAGTACCAAGTCCATTGTTTTGGCATATTCTATGATAACATTAGGGACTAAAATGCTAAATTCTGTCTTCACTTTATACTATGTGAAGTTTTTTTTTTTACATATGTACAAGATTTCAGAAGTAGCTTTTTACTAAGCCCAGGTGAGATGGAGCCCTTCCTATCCCTTCAACTAGGACAGTTTCTCTTCCTCACAGTTGTACGTTATTGTGATTCTCCAAAGAGTTGATTTCTCACATAGCTGAAAGACATTCTAGGTCAAAGTTATTCATGTTCAAGTTCCTTTGTTTGAGGGCAGTGAGATTTGTAAAGAATTGCCATTTAAAGCATAAAAGTTATCGTGTTTAAAGGGTACGTTTTGGCTATCTGGAAAATTCACTTACGTGGAACAATCATACAATTATTGTTAAGATATTCT